TGGAAGCAATTTTTATGTTCTTATCTCAACTTACTTCACATATTGTATGTTACCAAAAAGTTGTCCTAGTTTTAATAAATCAATGTTTTTTTATGTCAGTTCTTTAACTATATAAACAAATTCAGCTCATTTGTAAAAAATACATGTTTTTATACGTATCTATATATTTTTATTATATTGTATTGCTATATTAAATATAATATCATATTACAGAGTTGGTCATCTTTGTTTAAAATTAATTATATTAAAAGCCATGTTACACAATTGTTCCTAGTCCTCAAAACATGTATGAAAAGATTGCAATACCCTACAACAGTACAAAAGCTTAAGTTTTCAAAAGTTTCTATCAGTAACCAATTTAACAAGAGCACTGCAGGCGATGGAAATGCTTGTCTTTGAAAAAAGGAGCATGAATCTAAAAATATAGCATACATAGTTTCATATCAATACCTTTAAAATTGTTAACGAACTACATTAAAATGTTTTCATGACGACAATGACAACGACACAGTGATCATAAGTCTTCGAAACGGGCGAGCTCAACCCCCCCCCCTTATTCATGCATTTTTGCCTGGGGGTGTTTTATGATGAATATATGAGAACACAGTTATATGCTTCAAATGTGAAATGTCAAAATCAATACACTGTGGACAGGCACTCTTAAGCATTTGAGCAGACAAGTTTAATGTAGTTAAAACCCCTGTGACCTTGATATAGACACAGTCACCTAAAAATTAATAGGGGTCATCTTCTAGTCATAACCAACCTCAAAAGCAAATATGAAGACTGTTGACCAAATTATTCTTCAGCAATTGAACAGAGAAGCTTTCTGAACTAAAGGCCCCTGTGACCTTGACATTTTGACCCAGTGACTTCAAAATCGATAGTCGTCATGATCAACCTCGATGCCAAACATGTAAACTGTTGGTCAAAGGAGTCTTTAGTTATTTGGCTGAATAACTTTTTTGAAATCAAGGCCTCTGTGACCTTAGACCAAATTACCTAAAACTCGAAAGGGGTCACCTTATGGCCATGCCAAATATGACCTGTGGGTTAAAGGATTATTAAGTTATTAAGGCCGACAACCTTTTTTTAGTCAAGGCCCCTGTGACCTTTGACCTAGTGACCTCAAAATCGATAGGGTCATCTACCAAAAATGACCAATCTCAATACTTAATATAAGACTGTGGATCAAAGGAATCTTAAGTTATTGGACGGACAAGGAAAAACCGACAGACGGCCAGGCGGCTGGATGGCCGGACAGACATGCTGATTCCAGTATTTGTTGTGCGGGGTATAATTGTAACATTTAAAAAAATGAAAAAAACTTTCTATATTTTATTTAACAAGTACCTTAAAATATGCTAGAGCTGCTGAGTTATCTTTTGTAATCATCAAATGCATTGTTTATATTTTATGATACAATACCTGTCCTGCTCCAAAGATTTTGTACGATAAATCGCTTTAACACAACACTCAAATAATTCCGATTATATCAATAAAAAAATTTTGTTAGTTTTTTTTGTAATGGTTATTTTCCTCTTTTTTTTGTTTATAAAATTCAAAACATTAATGCTTATGCATAGAATATATTGTAATATACATTTAAAGAGGACCAAAAGATTTCTTTAAGGATTCAACAAAGATGATCAAGATAATAATTCTATTGTATCTGACCGATGTTGTAAAATATTATTAATGCCAGATCTATTTTAAATATAAATTTAAAACAAGAGCAACATTGTCGCAAAATACGGACGTCACAAAAGCTTTTGACACAGATGTTTTGATTATAGATGCACATAAGAGATATGCTCTGGGATATTTTATCATCTTCGTAACACTTGTGCCAAGCTACATTTAAATCCCCCAATGAATGTAGAAGTTCGGCTCCGCAAATTTTTTCATGATTCTAAGTGTGACGTTAAACTTTGATCAATTGACCTGGTTAATACACGTGCCACTGCTTATTATAGAAGTGAACATTTCTATGATTTCTATGATGCTTCATTTAAATCCCACAATGCGCTGAGGAGATATGCCCTGGACAAAATTTATATATCTTATCACTTTAAGTGACCTTGACCTTGCATAAATTAACTTAAATTACATGTTTCACACCAGTAGTTATGACCATTTGTGTTTCAATCCCACAATAAATGATAACTTTATGGTCCAAATACACATTCTCATATTTTCATCTGAACTTTGACCCTATGTGTGACCTTGACCTTGGCTGATGGGTCCTAAATTTTGCTTGCGACAATTTGCCTTACAATGGTGAATATTTGTCCAAGTTATATTAAACTTCTTCTATGTATGTATAAGTTCTGCTCCGCAGAAGTGTTTTTCAATGACTTCTAAGTATGACCTTGACCTTTGACCTAGTTTATGCGCATGACAATGCTACTCATTGTGGTGAATATATGTATGAAGTTTCATTTGAATCTCTCTATATGTGGAGGAGATATGCTCTGGACAAAATCTCTATATTTTATCATCTTTAATGACCTTGACTATTAACTTTAGTGACCTCAACCTCGCATATATTAACCTGAATCACATGTTTAACACCAGTTGTCATGATACTGACCATTTGTGTTTCAATCTCTCAATAAATGATGACTAAATGGTCCGAATATATATTTTCATATTTTTATTTTAACTAATATGTCACCTTGGCCCTGATCACAGGTACCTAAATGTTGTGACACGTGGTCTCAAAATGGTCAACATTTGTGCCAAGTTATATTGAAACAAGTTTTTTCAAATGATCTATAAGTGTGACCTTGCCCTTTAACCTAGAGACCTGGTCCATGTGCGCGACACAGCTTCTCATAGTGGTGAACATATCTGTGAAGTTTCATTAAAATTCCTCCATGCGTGTAGGAGATATGCTCCGGACAAAATTTTGACACATTCTGTGTTAGACCAAAAAGGTGTGATTTTTAATATACCGTCAAACCTGTCAACAAAGGCCACCAAGGGAAGACTGTAAAAGTGGTATTTGTTCACAGTGGCCTTTTGTTCAGGGGACAATAACATTTTGTTTGATGAGTAAATTTGTTTAAATCATGTTTTCTAAAATTTTAATTATTAAAAAATACAATACTTCTGCCGATGGAACTAGTTCGAGAGTTTGATCAATCAAGAGTTTGAGTGAAAAAAAGTTATACGGCGTGGCTGGTATCTTTTGAGAAACGTACAAGTTAAGAGTATACAGTCAAACTTGTGTTAAAGATCACCTCTGAATGAAGACCCGTTTTAAACAACCTTTTTGTATAAGCAGGTAACCTCGAAATGAAGAGTCCACTTGTCTGTAAAAACCAATTGTTTGGTCTCTCAATCTATGTTCACAGATATGACTTTATCTCTATATACAGTGCAACCTGAGCAAAGTTGACCTCTTCAAAGCAAATACCATTTTACAAACTCTAAACTAAGACTGAAGAGGGTGTTGCTCAGCAGAGGTTGTACTGTATTTTACAAATCTCAATCACTTCTGAGATAACACACTCACCCTACTTATTATGCACATAATCATATATGAGTTTTTATTTCTAGATCATATCTAGTCTAGTGATGACTTTAAAGACTGACCAGTATTACTGATAAGTCAATTTGCTCCCTCTATATGTGATCTTAAAATTGATAGTAGTTGATAAATATTGATCAAACTTCAACTTCTTTATGTAAGTCTTATTAAGTTTTCCAATTAAGTCCACCAATTAAATACCATCATAAAACCACCATAACAATGTGAAGCTGGAAAAAATGTTTAAAATACAAGTTGGGAAGGAAAGTCTTAATCATTCTGTTTTCAATGCTGTAACTCAATGATTTAAACCACTTATATACAAGAAAAGCATTGATGCAAAGCATAAAAGGGCGTCCAAGCAAGAAATGCAGCAAGTGAAGATGAACTAGAATACATCTGATAACCAGATATTCTTATAAACTTTTCAGTGGTTAATTGGTTTTAACCAGTATTGTATATCATTTATGAAATGGCGGACGAAAGACATTGTTCATCATGAACTTTGGTAGGTATGCTAGAGATTTGAATATTAAATGTTTTTCCATAGGAACTTTAATTCTATCAATATTAACGTTAATATCCAAAATATACAGGTCTATAATATCCAAAATATACCCTCATATGGTTTAAGTTTATTTATTCTATATAGGGGGGATTATTGGATATTATCATTAATACTGGTTATTTGATAGAATTTCAAGTTCATGTGGTCTTTTCTTTGAAACATACAAAATAATAGTCTGTAATGAACAAAGTCTGTTAATTGATTTATTTGGGAGGTCAATCTAGTGTTTTAATGAATAACTTCAAAAACCTCGTCTGACCTATCAGAGTGTTTACATTCCTATCAATACAAATCATGTTAAAATTGCAGACGAAAAATGATAATCCTATGATATAACAATTCGAAAAAAATGCCTACTGAAAGAGTGCAATTGATTGTTTTAACATTTCCTGCAAAATTCTCCAGTTCGTGATTTAATAACATAGAGCGACACAAATGACCGTGTCGGTAAACTTAAACTACTTTTATAAATAAATTTTCGGACTTTCACAATGTTATGGTCATTGCATCATTCTGTTTATAGGTATAGTAATAACAAACACAATAACCCACTGTGCAGCTGTGTACTACAAAATGATTTATAAAAATACCGAAGAGCGCGATTAATTGACGGATGAGATAATATCATTTGAATATGTTTACATTGCGAAATTATCCAGTTCGCTATTTATTGTACATATTGCAACATTTCATTTTCAAACATCTCATACCAATCGGAATGTTCGACTATTATGGTCGACTAAGAAGCCTGAGAAGTTGCATTTGCCTTTTCACAAAAACTTATTTCATTCAATAAGGGGCGTCGCGCTTCAGCGCCGACGCCAATCATTTCTCAATACAGTTTATAATTGTCCTACTTAACTAGGTCAACATAAAGTTTAAACATTTACACACCGATAAACTAGCGGAGATAACATTTTCAATTTTTAGCATGGTTTAAATTTCAAAATCGGGATTTTATTTAAATTCTGACCAATTAACATACTGATTGACAATCACAAAACAAAAATACACACTAAATTAGCTAAATGAACAATTGATATCTATTCAGTTTAAGCTTGTAACTTTGTGTTGTAACACAAGGAAGTAAATATCAATTTTAAATTCCATGTATCCAATAAATAAAAAAACCAGCAAAATATTTACATTAGAAACCTGTGAAACAATTTGAGGATTACAATTTCAAGGTACAATATGTTTTTTAATAAATATCTTAATGTCTACAAAAATGACTCTCTTATTAGGGAAACAAGTGATTATTTATTTCATTTTTAAGAAAGTTAAATATACACATATTTTGATACACAAAGTCATGGTATTGAAAAACTTCTGGACAGAGCACTCCGCTTTTCTCATTGCTGTATTATAAATATAACTTAGAAAAGAAAGGATATTATTATGCAAATGTGATTAGCAGAATTACTTGTCCTTAATAGTCTACAAGAATTTCAATTTTAAATTGATAACATTTTTTGTTATAAAATAATTTTAGGATGATCTGCCCTTTTGAAAATTAATGGTGTCCTTTCATGACAATAAACAAGTACACCAAGTTTGAAGTGAATAATAACTTATTATATTTGCTTAAAAAAATAGACCTTTACAAAAAGGTTTACCGATCTCCACCTCAATCTTAATGCTGACAAGAGGGTTATGACAAAAACTCCACTTTTTTCTTTGAAAAGAGAAACTAACAATGTGCACGTTCTAACAATGTATATTTTGTTTTTCTGTACATATGTTTTGTATGGGTGGATACTTTAAAATTAGATATGGTATTGTTCATTCTTCATTTTTAAAAATTAAAATTATGTATGTATTACTCTTTAAAGCATCACGTGTGTGTACATTTATAACTTTAACCTTAATAAAAATACTGTTTGCACTAGATCTTTATTAGCCCCTAACCTTCTGAACTCACGGTCCACTGTCTTGAACAGTCCACTATCAATTTTGTTAATAGATACTGAACATGACTAGTTACAAGTCTGAGGCCATAGAGCCACTGGGTTGTGAAGTTATTATTCAACAAGAGCTGTCACAGGAGACAGCGAAGCTCGACTAATAAAATACTGGACGCAGTAAGGAGGACAGAACTATGAAAGAAACATCAATTATTTATAATTATGTATTAAGTTATAGTAAAAAAATAACATTTGTTAACATTAATTCCAAGATCAAGGGGAATAATTCTAGAAATAGTCATGCTAGAGTTATGGACCTTGTCACACAGCATTTGTGTAATGATAAGAAATATATATTTGAAGTTTGAAGTAGATACCTATAAAAGTAAAGAAGTTATAATATTTCTTAAAGAAAATCCTAAGTTCAAAGAGAGATAAATCTGTAAATATTGCTTCAAGAGTTATGAACATTGTCATATAAAATGTAATTGATGATAAGGAATAAGTATTTGAAGTTTGAGGTAGATACCTTTAAAAATAAAAATGTTATAATAAAAATAACATTTTTCTATTAAAAAAATCTAAGTTTATGGGGAGATAATTCTTGCAATATTGGTGCTAGAGTTATAAACCTTGTCACATAAGATGGGGATGATGATAACGTAAATATATTTGAAGTATGAGGTTGATCCCTTAAGAAATAAAGAAGTAACAGTAAAAAATAGTATTTTTTAAGGAAAATTCTAAGTTCAAGGGGAGATAAATCTGAAAATATTGGTGCTAGAGTTATGAACCTTGTCACATAAGATGTGGTTGATGATAAGGAAGATATATTTGAAGTTTGAAGTTGATACCTTAAGGAATGACAAAGTTATAGTGAAAAATATTTTACTGCACCAAAACTTTAATCTAAAATCTGGACGCGGACGTGGACGCCGACGTGAACGCCGACGCCGGGACGAGTAGTACAGCTCCCCATGTGCTTCGTATAGTTGAGCTAAAAACCCATTGGACCTTGACCTTTGACCCTGCGAACCAAAAATCAAAAGAGGTCATTTTCTGTCCAAGACAAATGTTTCTATTAAGTATGATCGTCAAGGTCTCATTGGTTGTTACTGATCAAAAACTGTTTTGACATTCAAGGTAATAACTAATAATCAATAGAACATCCTACATGAATGCAAAATATGTTTCTGATAACTAACATGTACTCAGAGTCAGTTAAATAAACCAGTTTTTTTTAATAATCTCGAATTATTTTACAGAAAAACCCAGTATTATCAGAAGATAAACGTTGAACGCTAACGCCCCATCCCTATCCCCCAATCTACAAGTACTGGTGGCATTAAAGCTTTTAATAATTACATATCATGACATCAACTTTCATCACATTTAAAACAAGTCAAAAATATGAAATGAAAAATATATACCGGTATATATACTGTATCTTCATAGTTCACAGTACTTAACGCTTTGAAACAAGAATGAACTCTCTGTACAAAAAATGTCATATGTACAAAAAATGTCATAATCTATAACATTTACATTCTTTTGCTGTATGACAAAAGGTAACAAAAACATATTAAATCAAAATCAGATTTAATGATCAAAACAAAGATCATAGGTCGGCAGTTCTGAAAACAATATATCATCATTTAAATCGCAACATATGGTGTTACACCTTATTTTTCATGTTTCAGTAAAAATTACTAACTGATTTATTGCTGAATTTCAAATTTAAATTAAAGCTATCTTTACTTTGAAACTCACAAGAAAATGTTAAATGTTTCATATGTATGTTCACATTTTAATGGACTACTGTCACGGTGGCTTTTTGCAGAAATAAGTAAAAAGTTGTTTTATGCTAAAGATTACAGATTAAAAATATTTTGCGCAAAAACTTTAATGTTTAGGTGAATGACTAAATGATGTGAAATAACTGATGCTGAGTATAATTGCTTGAATATTTTTCCAACCAAATTTTATCCACAAAAAGGTCATATGAGAAATCAACTAGACTTTGCCATTATTTCAAATCATCTTTAAATCTCTAGTATGACAAATTACAATATGACAAACATGCAATACATAGTTATCTATTATAATACATTTTAGGTAAAATATGGCAGTCCCAGGAAAGAAAGCATCAAAACAATTTTCATCATCAACAACATCCATGGCATCAGATGAAGATCTTCAAATTCATTGCCAGCCTTGTGACGAGGAAGGAACTAGACATTCTGCTCATGGTTACTGTACTGACTGCAAGGAACACCTTTGCAAGACATGTTTTAAAGCACATAAGATAAACAAGTTTACCAAAAAGCATACACTTCTGAATGCAACAAGTATGCCTAAAGTTTTGCAACAGCCCTCAACATCTATTCACACATGCCTGATAGATGATTTGATCTCACTATGTCATAAACATCCAAAAGAAATTATCAAGTTCTACTGCAATGATCATACAGAATTTCTCTGTGGTGTTTGTGTTACCCTTGAGCATCAAGCTACTTTCTGCAAAGTCAACTATATACCAGAAATTTCTATTGATATAATAGACAGCAAAGAATATCAAGTTATCATGAATGCAGTAAAGACCACTTCTGACAAATTTCAACAGATATTAAAAGATGTCAAGAACATGACATACAAATCAAACAGCTCTCTCAAAGATGCATTAGTTGACATTAAAAAGTTTCGACAAGAAATCAACCAAAGACTAGATGAACTGGAGAGACAGGCTGAAGATGCAGCTAAAGTCATAGAACAAGAAAACAACACACATCTAAAATCAGTAGAAACAACATGTGAAGAAGTTACCAAATCTCTGAAGGTATCATCAGACAAAATCAAACAACTCAACGAAACAAAACAAGCTGACAAACTTGTAATTGATTTAAAACTTGCAGAGAAAGCAATCAAAGATATGGAAGGAAAACTACAAACACTGTCATCATTCAATATTAAAGAGCACAACTTTAAATCAAATGATGTTATATTAAATTTGGTTAAAACAGAGAAGTCACTGGGTACATTGATAAAGAAAATTTTAAATACAGAATGTCAACCTGTACAAATAAAGTCTAGACAACCTTCACATGAGGGAGAAATCTGTGTGAAGACATCAAAAGATGAATCAAGCTGCTATATAACAGGAATGATTCTGGTGACTCCTGATCTTCTTATCATCACTGACTGCAATAACAAAGCTGTAAAGATGGTGGGCACCAGCAGTCAATCTGTGTCTGATCAACTACAACTAGATGATGAACCAGAGGATATCACTAGAGTAACCAGTACTGAACTTGCTGTCACAATTCCTTCAAAACAAACAATACAATATATATCAATCTCATCAAACAAACTCATAAATAGGCATGCAGTGAAGGTTGGTGGAGAATGTCATGGCATAAGCTGTTACCAAGGTAAATTTGTTGTGTTATTCCTTTATCCTACAAAACTTCAGATCCTTGATATGAATGGCACTATACTGACAACAATTGATGGAAAAAATATTTTCGAAGATGCATGGCATATCACATGTAACAGAAGTTCTATCTATGTATCTGACGATGCCATGAAGACGATAACAGAATTAAACTGGCAGAGTGAAGCAATTGCTATTTATTGTGGTATGAGTTTCCCTACAGGAATGTCACTGTCAGATGATGGTACTGTCTTTGTGTGTGACAATGGAAACTGTGTTATAAAAGAGATGTCAGGAGACTGTTCTACAGGAAAGGTGGTGTTGCAGGATCTGGATGGACCATGGGCTGTATGTTGGTGTGGAGAAACAAAGAAGCTGTATTATAGCTGCAATGCTTTGGATGAGAAATATAGCAACTTCCTTCAAATCCATAACCTGTCATAGACTTAAACAGAGACTTAGTTGATTTAACAATGTCAACAGTTCTTAAATTTATCATTCATTCTTCTAACACTGGTCTTAAAGTGAAAGCATGATGAAAACTTAGCAAGACACTTTCATGCTAGATTTTTTTTTATTTAATTTCTATATGTTTAGTCGAATCTTTGAAAACTTAGCAAGATACTTTTATGTCAGAACTTTTTTTTCATCTTTAAATGTTTAGTAAAATCTTATGTTATGAAGAAGAATGATTTGTGGCTTTCTTATAAATGGTTTGGTGAGAAACTAGGAAACTTCTAGGGTAATGCTGAGAATACACTGAATAACAAAGGAACCTCATGCTCATGTAGTGATAAATTTTGTCTGATAAAGGATAATGACCAATATCTATACGTTATATTCTAAGTTAAGAAGGGACATAACTCCTAAAAATATTGCCTTCAGGATAATGCCCCCTGTTTGATAAGGGCAATGATTATCAATGACCGATGTTTATAAATACTTTATGTTAAAAAGGGTCATAACTCCTTAAAATATTTCTTTCTGGATAAGATTTATGTTGATTTTTTTATAGCCTTTAAATCATTCTAACTTAATAAGCAACTTTGACAAAAGTTAAAAAGGGGAATAACTGCCAAAATGTAGCTTTGAGTATAAAATCTTTCTTATAATGCCTAGTCTATTAACTGTATATTGATGACAAGTTGACAACATTGTGCATCGATCACAATACTTCTCTTTTTTTCAAAACAGACACACTAAAATGACAACTTTGTATCCATTTATAAACTGACTGTAATAGGTTGCATCTATTATAACATTTAAAACTAAGATTAAAAATTTTCTTTATTTTTATTTTACATAACAATATGATTCATCTGGTGAGTTTTCTTTTCTTTTGTTATTATCAAATGCACTTAATATTTTATGTTACCTGTCCTGTTTCTACTAATATTGTGTACTATAAGCATTTGTAACATTTTAAAATTATTCAGATTGCATCAATAAATGTCAGTATAAACTGCTTATTGTTGTAAAAAATAAGTTGATACATGGTATATGATATATGGAAGAGATACTAGGAGGCTGCTCTACAAAAAAGTGATGTTGCAGATATGTCATGTTTTCCCTGATCTTAATGTTTATTTTATATTTTGAAGAAGCTGTAGACATTTAAGTGGTAAAAATTAAGCAAAATTTGGTCATTTCTATAAATTGACAAGACTTAGGCAGAATGGTAGCTGTAAAATATTGCCCCAGACTCCAGTGTTTTTATATTTTTCTGGTCCTTCAGGATCATTGATGCCAGCATTATTAAGTGTTAAGAATTGAGTACGGCTCAAGCCGGTGCTAGGGGGCGTGAGAAATATTGCACTTATTCATCCTTCATGTACAGACTCAATCAAACCGAGTCTGCAATTCTTTTAATTTTGTTGTGATTAATGATTCCGAGGGATCACTTTGTTTCCAGATTTTAACCCATTTTCAAATAATGCCAAAAGTGTATGATAAATAATAAATTTAGTTTAATTTGAAAACATTTAAACATTCATGATCCTGACTATAAAATAAAATATAAAATATAAATACATGCTTTTAAACTGATACGAGTACATTTTCTCCTCATGACCATGTTGAAAGTGAAATATACATTGTATAAATAATCAGACATGCCTCAATACATTGTATAATAGATCTACCTATCTGACTTTTGTCCAACAGGTTTTATTAAGATAGCAATATGAGGTTCATGAACAAGTGCCTGTTTGTGTTCTACAAAAAAATGTGATTTTCAATATACAGTCAAACTTGTCACCAAAGATCAACAACGGGTGAAAAATGTCCATCGGTAAAAATGTTGTGAGCAACTTCCGTTCCTCGTTGTGAGCACCCATCTTTGACGTGTGACACGATAAACAAGGTGACTTTTTCATAATTTTTGAAATATTCATAAACGAGGTTATGGTGCTCACAACGAGGATTAAAGCAAAAAAGAGTATATCTTCGTTTCTACGAAGACTTTCAGATAATAACTTACGCTGAAGACTTGTGGGCATCTGTTTTAGGTTAGAATGCACAAAACGTCACCAGAATCGACGTTTTCAATGTTAAATTAGGTCCAAAGAGAAGTTGTCTCCAGTTTTCCAGCTACCCCGAGTGACTGCGTCGCACGGTATTTCCATCAAATTGTCCACCAACAGGCAATATCTTTACATGCGCATACTCGGAAAACACATCGCTAGCTAACTGCATTCCGATATTTTTACATAAATGTCTGTAATCTTCAAAAATTATGAAAAACTCACCTTGTTTATCGTGTCTTTCGTCATAGATGGGTGCTCACAACGAGGAACGGAAGTTGCTCACAACATTTTTACCGATGGACATTTTTCACTCGTTGTGAGTTAAACGGGCGTGAATATTTTTATTTAATTACTCAATGCCTACAAAAATGACTCTATTATAAAGGCAACAACATTATGACATTATTTTGCATTTTTAACAAAAAGGAAGTTAAATATACATATATTTTGATATACAAAGTCATGGTATTGAAAAACTTCTGGACTGGGTTGTTTTGCATGCCTTTTAATTATATTTATGTTTGTAATAAGACCTTTTCGTGGACAGAGCCCTCCACTTTTCTCATTGCTTTTTAATAAAGTTCAATAAAATCACAAATCACACAATTGAAAAGAAAGGATATTATTCTGCAAATGTGATTAGCAAACTTACCTGCCGTTGATAGTCTACAAGAGCTTTAAATTGAATACATGTACTTTTTTAGGTTTAAAATAATTTTAGGATTATCTACCCTTTTTAAGTGGTATCCTTTTATGACAAGAAACGAATGCCAGCCAATTATCATGTGACCAGGTTATTGTGACTTTGACCTTTGACTTATGACCTAGTGACCATTATATCAATAGGGTTTATCTACTGGCCATAAATTGTCACTAGGTTATTGTGACCTTAAAGCCGTATACCTCCAGAACAGCCAAAAAATTTCAAGAAATTAAACTTCATAATCTTGAAAAATTGTATAATTGTAGATTTTAAGAAAAGTAAAACTATTAAGACTCAATACACATAAAACATGTTTGCCCTACAACCCCTATGCCCGGCCAATTAGTGATCAGGTCATTGTGACTTTGACTATTGACCTAGTGACCCCAAAATCGATACAGTTTATCTCCTGACTAGTCACTAGGGTATTGTGACCTTAAAGCCTTATTCTTCCAGATGAGCCAAAATATTTCAAGAAAATTAAACTTTAGAAATTGTACTTAGATTTTAAGAAAAGTAAAAAAATTAACATTAAAGTAATAATTTACATTTTGTGTGCTATTAATCATTGATGTTGCAGTATTTATGACCATATCTCTACTGAGTTACTTATGCAATAAGGACTATTTTTGCTTATTTCAACCACTTTTTTGTTAATTTGCATGGATTGCATGTGCTGTTTTCAATGTGTAAAGTATATTCCATGCTCACTTCAAAATATTTTACTTTTAAATGTGTTTTTATAATTTTCAAAAAATAAGCATGATCTGAAGGCATGCTGCTTTAAAGGTTGTGTGACAAAATTATCACAAATCGTACTGAATAATATATACAAGAAAAATGTTTGTGCAACATGTAATATGCCTCCCTTAATAAAAATTTAATGTACTCCTTTGCAATTTTAAATGTGCATCATAAACTGTGAGTTCAATATCAACAAATGACGCTTTAATCAACCATTTATTTAAGAATATCTTTTCTGGTTTTACTGTGACTTTTCAAACTGCATGATCACACAATGATGATCCCAGAAATAGGTTTTGTTTGTTTGTTTCATTTTACGCCTTTTCCCAACAGTATTTCAGTCTTATAGGCAGGTAGTTTCCTAACCTCGTTCCTGGAGAGTTACACCAGTACTAGACTACCTTCCTCCGCGCTAAACTACCAAAGCATCTCCCGGGGATCGAACCCACGCCAGAGAGGTAACTGGATCAGACGTCATCGACTCTAACCACTTGACCACGGAGGCGGTTTCAGAAATAGGTGCCATGGTAGGTACAGTTGTTGTACTGGCAAAGACAGGACAGATATATCAGCAGTTTGATAGACGAAGGTCCCATGGCTTGTAAAGTTATAAGTGGTACACCAAGGGTCCATTGATTGTCATGAATATCACCAATTTAACATAACGGCAGCGTAACAGTTGACAGTGGAGTGTTTTTGCCAGGGTACTTGTTTTACAAACAATATATGTTAACTGTTAAACTGTTGTTGTAAACTTCATATTGTAAAATATTAATTAAGCCTATTCTGGACTTCTGAAGTAACATAGATTACAAGGTATAGACCACTACACCACAATACACCATCTCTGTTCGATATTCTAATCTTTTATCTTATTATTTTGATGTAATTTATTATAAAGTTTATGTTTAAAATGTTTTTATTGCTCTGGTTTCATAAAGTAAGGATGCAGTAATTAACTTACAGTTAATTGAGTAATGTATAATGCTATTTGCTTCTTGGCTAACTTAATATTGTACTTTGTATGATATTTAACTATAATATCTCTTTGATATCTTGTATATTTGATATCATTGATATCAAAAGGTTAACAATTTTTGTTTGACTATTGTTTCAGATTGATACAGTCTTATATGGTATTGTACAGTTTTACACAGTGGTATACAGACCTGTGTGTAGATATTTGTATATATATATGTCTTTGAGTGGACCCACTGGTAAAATAAAGCAGTGAATACATAAACCATATGAAGCATTGGTTTTATGTAAACCCGCAATCTGCTAGATATTATAACCCTGAAATAATGCAAGGAAAAGCACCTGAGGTCTTCCTCAACCAGTAAAGCTTTAACGTCGCCATATGACCTATACTAGATACTAGATATCATAACATCAACAATCATCACCAATAAAACAAAGCAAATTCGTTGAATTTATATCCCCGCCGATTACTGGTTATTACTAACACAACAACTGAAGACATAAGGCTTTATTTATATATATTTATCATGGTGTTAACAGTACTATTCTTTGTACATGAAAAATATTCAGGGCAATAACAGAGCCATAACTCTTTGTTAAATAGTTATATTTGGACATGCCAATGAGATGTTAATTGTCTTTTTGTATCGATGGTTTCCATACAGTTTTGTTGAAAATCAATACAGAGGTTGCAAAGAAATAACAATATTGCTCTATATGCATACTACATAAATCAAGGGCCATATCTCTGTAATGAAGGGTCTGGTCAGAACAAGGCAGCAGATTATGCACATCTCCTTATAGTATTAATGGTTCCCATAAAGTTTAATTGAATTCCAGCCAGTAGTTGCAGAGAAGTAGCAGGGAAACAATTATTGCTCTATATGCATACTGCATAACTACTCAAGGGCCATAACTCTGAGTTAAAGTGTCTGATTTGAACAAGGAGAAAATATGCGCATTCCCTCTTGGTATTGAAGGTTCCCATAAAGTTTCGTTGAGTTCCAGCCAGTACTTGCAGAGATGTAGCGCGGAAATGAGTTTTACTCTATAAGCATAATCATTATATGAATAACTTATTCAGGGCTATAAGACTGAGTTAAAAGGTCTGACTGGAACAAACCGACGTGTGCACATCTCCTCTTGATATTGATGATTCTCATTAAGTTTCGTTGAATTCCAGCCAAAAGTTGCAGAGAAGAAGCGTGGAAACGATTATTGCTCTATATACATACTGCATAACTAATCAAGGACCATAATTCTGAGTTGACCGGAACAAGCCACCGATATGCGGATCTCCCCTTGGTATTGAAGGTTCCCATAAAGTTTCGTTGAATTCCAGACAGTTGTTGCAGAGAAGTAGCGCAGAAACGATTATTGTTCTATATGTTTACTGCATAACTAATCAAGGGCCATAACTCTGAGTTAAAGTGTCTGACCGGAACAAGACGATAATGTGCGCATCTCCTCATGGTATTGAAGGTTCTCAATTCCAGCCAGAGGTAACAGAGAAGTAGCGCGGAAACGATTTTTGCTCTTTACACATAATGCATAACTAATCAAGGGCCATAACTCAGAGTTAAAGTGTCTGACCGGAACAAGGCGTCGATATGCGCATCTACTCTTGGTATTGAAGGTTCAAATAGAGTTTCGTTGAATTCCAGCCAGTAGTTGCAGAGAGGTAGCGCGGAAACGATTTTGCTCTATACGCATTTTAATGCATAACTATTCAAGGGCCATAACTCTGAGTTAAAGAGTCTGACTGGAACAAGCCGGCAATATGCACACCTCCTATTGATATTGATGATTCCCATAAAGTGTTGTTGAATTCCAGCCAGTTGTTGCAGAGAACTAGGGAGGAAACGAAATATTCGGACGGACGGACGGAAGGACGGACGTTCTCACAGGACAATCATTATGTGGTTACTCTATTGTTCTTTATATTGTTCTTTTAGCAACATAAAAGAAAATAGCCATATAAAAGCATTACGGAATAATTGGCATCAAAGAGAAAGAACAGTTACCTTTTCTCCCTCTAGCTCCCTCATAATTACTGTCCTGTGAGTGCCGACAGACGGACGGACGGAAAGCGCTAAAACAATATACCCCCCCCCCCAATTCCATCGATGGGGGATAACAAGTCAAATATAAGAAATGAACAATGTACATGTACTTTTACATTTTCCCCAACATAACTTTTAACCACAAAAAAGTCATGAAAACAAGTAACCAGACTTTACTTTTGTTTCAAATCATCTATGAATCTCAAGTTTCATGTATTCACTAAAGGACATTGAAAACATTCATTACATTGTAATCTATAGATATTATCCAGAACTCAGCAAACATGGGTTTTTCCAATTAATCCATCCGTTGGTACAAACAAACTTTTACCGTTATAGCTTCAAAGTACACTACCTTTCACAATAGCTTAGTCAGCTAACTTTCGAAGCTGTAACTGTAAAAATTGGTTTCTACCTATGGATTAGCTAGGGAAAAGTCATTTTTTCTTAATTCAGAAAATAGTCTTTTATAATACATTTTAGGTGAAACATGGCAGTCCCAGGAAAGAAAGCATCAAAACAAGTTTTATCATCAACAACATCCAGGTCAGATGAATTGACCTTGCCGTGTCGTAAACATTCAAAAGAAATGACAAAGTTCTACTGCAATGACCATAAAGAACTTCTCTGCAGGGTTTGTGTTACCCTTGAACATCAAGCTACTTCCTGTAATGTCAACTATATACCAGACATTTCTGGTGATATATTAGAGAGCAAAGAATATCAAGTAATCTTGAATGTAGTAAAGACCACTTCTGACAAATTTCAGCCGATATTAAAAGATGTCAAGGACATGAAACACAAATCAAACAGTTCTCTCAAAGATGCATTAGTTGACATTAAAAAGTTTCGGCAAGAAATCAACAAAAGACTAGATGTACTTGAGAGACAGGCTGAAGATGCAGCTAAAGTCATAAAAAAAGAAAACAAAAAACATCTGAAAGCAGTAGAAGAAATATGTGAAGATATAACCAAATCTTTGAAGAAATCATCTAATAACATCAAACAACTTAACAGAAAGAAACATGCTGATAATCTATTCATTGATTTAAAACTTGCTAAGAAAACAATCAAAGATATGGAGGGAAAACTATTAAAACTGTCACAATTCTATATCAAAGAGCACAACTTTCAATCAAATGATGTAATATTAAATTTGATTAAAACAGAAAAGTCACTGGGTATATTGACAATGAAAACTTTAAATACAGAATGTCAATCTGTACAAATAAAGTCTAGAAAATCTTCACATGAGGGAGAAATCTGTGTGAAGACATCAAAAGATAAAATAACATGCAGGATAACAGGAATTACTCTGCTGACTCCTGATCTTCTTATCATCACAGACTACTTTAACAATGCTGTCAAGATGGTGGATACCAGCAGTCAATCTGTGTCTGATCAACTACAACTAGATGGTGGACCATGGGATATCACAAGATTAACCAGTACTGAACTTGCTGTCACAATTCCTTTAAAACAAACAATACAATTTATATCAATCTCATCAAACAAACTCATAAAGAAACACACTATGAAGGTTGGTGGAGAATGTCTTGGTATGAGCTGTTACCAAGGTAAACTTGTTGTGTCACTACGTTCTCCTGCAAAACTTCAGATCCTTGATACGAATGGCATTATGCTGACAACAATTGATGGAAAAAATATTTTCAAATATCCATATAATATCACATGTAACAGAAGTTCAATCTATGTCTCTGACTGTGACATGAAGGCAATAACAAAATTAAACTGGCAAGGTTTAGTGATAGGTTGTTATAGTGGTATGAGTTATCATACAGGAATGTCACTGTCAGATGATGGCACTGTCTTTGTGTGTGATAATGGAAGCTGTGTTATAGAAGAGATATCAGGAGACCATTGTACAGGAAAGGTGGTGCTGCAGGATCTGAAGAGACCATTAGCTGTTTGTTGGTGTGGAAAAAACAAAGAAACTGTATTATAGTTGTTATGCTTTGGGTGAAAAATATGGCAATTTCCTTCACATCTGTTACCTGTCGTAGACATGAAAAGAGACTTATTAGATTAAACAATGTCAACAGTTCTTAAATTCATCATTCATTATTCTAAAACTGGCCTTAAAGTGAAAGCATGATGAAAACTTTGCAAGACACTTTTATGCTAGATTTTTTTAAATTTTTAAATGTGTAGTAATATCTTTGGAAACTTAGCAAGATACCTTTTTGATCTTTAAATGTTTAGTAGAATCTTATGTCAAATTTTGAGGATGAATGATTTAATCTATTCTTTTGTTGCATAAATCTAATATATCAACACTTAATGTAACCTCTATAGGACTGCACCTCTTTGCAACAACCTTGTCACCTTTGTCTCCATTCCAAAAGGGTGTTGCTCAACAGGGGTTATACAGTATTTTATGAATCTTTATCAATTTGGAGATCACAGATTCACCCAATTACGCATCCTTTATGAACTATTTTATCCTTAATGCATTTTCATCACTAGATCATGTATAAGATTTTACATGCTCAAATGATGACTTAAAAGACTGACCAGAGTTACTGATAAGCACATTTCTTCCCTCTATATGTGATCCTAAAAATGATTGTAGATGATAAAATATTGATAAAACTTCAACTTCTTAGTGTAAATCTTTTTAAGCCTTACAATTATTTCAACAAAATCCATGATAAAACCATATCAATGTATTGCTGAAAACAACGTCATTCTCTTTATAATGCTGTGAATAATTTAAAACCACTTTTATATCATTTTTCTACAGACAGTTTATGATCGTCTTATATACTAAGTCAACACAACGTTTGCCGATAAACTAGGGGAGATATCAACTTTTAGCACGGTTTGAAAAAACAACTTTCAAAATTTCAACAGTCAAGGCTTTTTTATAATTCTGAAAAGTTAATTCTGTAAAACGCAACACCTTCTTGCACACTATGGACTTTATCAGCAATATAAGTAATAGAAAGAGCATCGAAACGCGAGGCTATCTGATTTGTACGAGAAGTGGTAGCACCCGAGTATTAATCAGATTGCAGAGTGTTTTGATGTTCTTTCTCTTTCGTATTATAGTCAAACATGAAAACATGTTCCCTGTTGCCACAATATGAACCCCGGAAAAAAGTAATCAATGGACGAGCATCTGAATGTGATATTCTATCGCTTTCCCTTTCCCTGTCGTCACAATAAGAAAACCCCAAGCAAAAATGAGCCAATCAATGGACATGCTCTGGAGTGCGGGTAACTAATACCTGCATTCCAGTTTATGCACTGTGCATGTATATGGATACGATTTAACTCTGACACTTTTTCAACAGAAAGGTCCCCAAACTATGATACAAATGAAGAAAATCTTTCCGGTTTAAATGTTTGTTGTAAAACAAGGAAGTCAATATCAAAGTACAGGTATAAAATATAAACTGCAAAATGTTTATATTTGACACCTGTGAGAAAATTTGAGGATTACGATTTGAAGGTACAATATTTTTATTAAACATCTTATTGTCTGCAAAATGACTCTCTCATAAATGCAACTAGTGAGCATTATTATTGTATTATGCTTTTTTATAACAAGAGACACCGCGGGCGGGGGCAACGCCAGACCTTTTACTTTTTCTAAAAGCAAACGATCTATTTGAACAAATCTAAACGTTTCCTTTTAACTAATTTAATCGTTTTGTCAAAGTATGAATCCTTTCCATATATATCCGCATGTGTATTACGCATTAATATATATATATATATAGGCAATATACATATCAAGATCATAAAAGAACCAAGGTTAATTTGAGTTTGACAACCATGAAGGTCTTGTCCTTAAGAATATTTTGTTATAATATGAAGACAATCCATTCAATAATTATAGGTAGACAGTACGCGTGACATTCAGTTTATGTAATTTAAAAAAACAAAACTTTCACACATTTTCTTTCAATGATAATTTAATTTTCCCTTTAAATGTAATGTTCCGTGCTTGTTGGATGCTCGCGTGCTAAAATCTTTCAAAATTTGAAACTCTACGCTATTTTAATCTGGTACGTCCGGTATCAGTATCATTGACTTCCGGTTTTATTGTAGATTATCTTAATGTTATCCGGATTGTTGATTGTGTTAGTAATTATAACAAGTACAACTCAAATGATTAACATGTTATGTAAATATTTTGATCTGCTCTGAACATTGTTAAGGTCTTCAAGTAATATTTTGTTTAATTCACTGCTTGAAATGTACTTAATTTATTTTTTACATTTTCTTTTTCTTTGAATTTATATATTGATGCAAAATTTTGTTGGTGCATACAAAAAAAGTGTAGAATATTGGGCCTAAACATGACATGCACATAAATATTGGGCCTAAACATGACATGCACATAAATAAATGCTTGCAATGTGTAATTGTGTTAAGAATTGTTCGTAACAGTTTGAAGGGCGACTTGCTTATGTCACAGGTCAACCTGAATGTCTGTGAATGATTGCTCAGTTTAGTATTTTAATTTCGAAATCCTTTAAACTGATAAATTGGTAGTTCCAATTTCAAGACTACAACTTGAAACTTTTTTTACTCTTAATTCAAATGTAAACAAGTTTTAATAAACCATATAATTCGGTTCACTATATATTCTAGATATCAACTTGCTTGAAATAATCGAGATTTCGTTAACCGAACTTTCTCTAATTCATCATACAGACTTATCTTACAGCGTCTGTACATACAAACATGTATATAAAAAATCACTAAAATCATGTTTTTTAGCTTTAATTCAATTTCTTTTGCAAATTTCTCAGCACCAATTGCGCTTGTTTAACATGGAGTTTTTTTTTTTTCATTTTTGTTAAATCACAACCGAGCAATAATGTATTAGGTTTACGTTTATTTTATTTTTTTGTGGTATTATATACCATTTTTCTTTTTTTCTTGTTATACCTTGGTATCCATACACACATATATACCTCAAAAGTGTGCACGTAAATCACGTGCATTAAGTACTGGTTGGGTTATTTTGTAGTTTATATATGTGCCATATGTGTAATTTATCTCTTTTATTTTTATATAGTATGACTTATCTGTACTTTTTGCTGTACAAGTCACATGTGTGAAGAAGTGCTATTTTGCTGACGTCATATTCCATCTGAAAATGATCGTATTGCTCGAATGTTTTAATATCTGACAAGTAATATTAGAAACTTTTTCAATTTCTGATTTGGCAACTTCATTTATGCATTTCATATAAAGTACCGATTGATACTGTACATGTACCTGTTTTCACATTACTATTCTTTATAAAGATTTGATTCTATGCAGACATTTTGTTTGTATTAACGATAAAGATGATATTTGGACTTGCCAATGTCACCTGTGCAATACAGCTTTGCCAGTCTGCTTTTTCCTCGATTTTTTACCAGCCTCTTTACTTTAGCTTGCCACTTTATTTTTAGCATTTTGTTTTCAAAATCATCCCTAAAACTAGCAATGAGCTGATAAAAATTCTCCCTAACAACGCTTAATTTTTGAAATGGAATTGCCCGGATCTTTCGATCTGGACTGAACCATCCATCTTGTTTCTTTGTTATTTTTAAAAAAATAAATTTAACATTTTAGCTGAACGTTTTTAACCATAAGTCAAAATGAGACAAACAATTAATTTAGTTCAAATGGTTTTATCTAATTTGCCAGCTGAATATAGAATCTTCAATTTTTGCTTAATATGTTTGTTTTCAGCTAACATTTGGATATTTTTCAATCTCGAGATGCACCTTTGCATTGTAAAGTACTAGTATATAAAATCTGGGATCAAGTTGTATTACAATTGTAATTTTGGTACCAGATTTGACCATTAAATGTTAGAAATCCTGAAATTAAAATCAAATTGACTATTTAAATATTAAATACTGGAAGCAATTTTATGTTCTTATCTCAACTCACATATTGTAAGTTACCAAAAAGTTGTCCTTGTTTTAATAAATCCATGTTATTTTTTATGTCAGATCTTTAGTTATATAAACTTATTCAGCTCATTTGTATAAAATACATGTTTTATACCTATCTATATATTTTTTATTATATTGTATTGCTATATTAAATATAATATCATATAACAGAGTTGGTCATCTTTGTTTAAAATCAATTATATTAAAAGCCATGTAACACATGATTAATCCCTCTCATACATTCTTTCTAGTATCCCCCTCATTCGATTGTTTCTTGTCCTCAAAAACATGTATGAAAAGATTGCATGACCCTAGAGTGAGTCCAAAAGCTTTAGTTTTCAAAAGTTTCTATCAGTAACCAATTCGACAAGAGCACTACAGGCAATGGTAATGCTTGTCTTTGAAAAAGGAGCATAAATCTGAAAATATAGCTTTTTTGCCAAGCATACATAGTTTCATATCAATACCTTTAAAATTATTATCGAACTACATTAAGATGTCTTCATGACGACAATGACAACGCCACAGTGATCATAAGTCTTCGAAACGGGCGAGCTCATATCCCCCCATTCATGCAGTTTTGCCTGGGGATGTTTTATGATGAATATATGAGAACATAATTATAATCAAAATCAATACACTGTGGACAGGCATTCTTAAGCATTTTAGCATACAAGCTTAATGTAGTAAAAACCCCTGTGACCTTGATTTTGACACAATCACCTAAAATTAATTGGGGACATCTTCCAGTCATAACAAACCTCGATATCAAACATGAAGACTGTTGACCAAAGCATTCTTAAGCAATTGAACGGATCGGCTTTCTGAAGGCCCCTGTGACCTTGACCTTTGACCCAGTGACTTCAAAATCGACAGAAGTCATGATCAACCTCCATGCCAAACATGTAAACTGTTGGTTAAAGGGCTTAATAACTTTTTGAAGTCAAGGCCTCTGTAACCTTGACCTTTGTCCAAGTTACCTAAAAATCAATAGGGGTCACCTTATGGCCATAATCAACCTCCATGCCAAATATGACTTGTGGGTTAAAGGATTATTAAGTAATTAAGTTATTAAGACCGACAACCTTTTTTGAGTAAAGACCCTGTGACCTTTGAACTAATGATCTCAAAATCGATAGGGTCATCTAATAATCATGACTAATCTCAAAACTAAATATAAGACTGTGGGTCAAAGGAATCTTAAGTTATTGGGCGGACAAGAAAAAAACGACGGACGGCCAGACGGCTGGATGGCCGGACATATATGCTGATTCCAGTATTTGTTGTGCGGGGTATAATTGTAACATTCAAAAAAATATTAAGAAAACTTTCTACATTTCATTTAACAAGTACCTTACAATATGATAAAGCAGGTGAGTTATCTTTTGTAATCATCAAATGCTTTGTTGATATTTTATGATACAATACCTGTCCTGCTCCAAAGATTTTGTACGATAAATCACTTTAACACTTAAATGATTCCGATTACATCAATAAAAAATTTTTATTGTTTTTTTGTATTGTTTTTTTTCTCAGTTTTTATACAGTTCAAAACAATAATGCTTATACATAGAATATATTGTGATATACATTTGAGAGGACCAAAAGATTTCATTTGATTATCTTACCGATGTTGTTAAACATTATAAATGCCAGATTGTCGCAAAATACGCCCGTCACAAAGGCTTTTGACACAAATGTGGGTTTTATAGATGTATATGAGATATGCTCTGGGCAATTTCCGGAAAATATCTGGATATTTTATAATCTTCAGTGACCTTGACCTTGCAAAATTAACGTAAATTACATGTCTTACACTTGAAGTGAAGGTCGTTATCATTTGTGTTACAATGCATCAATAACAGATGACTAAATGGTACCCATACACAAAATTTGACCTCTCTATATGAATTTGACATTGGTAACAGGGACCTGAATTATGTGTGTGCAATAAGCCTCACAATGGTGAACATATGTGCCAAGTTACATTAAAATCCCCCAATGAATTAAGACTTCAATGACCTCTAAGTTTCACCTCAAACTTTAATCTAGAGACCAGGTTCATGCATGTGACACTGCTTCTCAAAGTGTTTTACTTTCTTTGAAGTTTAATTAGAATCCCACCATGCGTGGAACAGATATGCTCTTGACAAAATCTCTTTATTAAATCATCTTAAGTGACCTTGACCTTGCATATAGTAAATTAAATTATATGTTGCACACCAGTAGTTATGACAATCCCTTAATAAATGATTACTAAATACACATTTTCATATTTTTATCTGAACTTTGAGCCCTATGTGCGACCTTGACCTTGGCCGCAGGAACCTAAATTTTCCTCGAGACATTCTGCCTTACAAAAGTTAACATTTGTGCCATGCTATATTGAAATCCCTTTGTGCATGTATAAGTTTTGCTCCAAAAACGCATTTTTCAATGACCTCTTAGTGTGACCTTGACCTTTGATCTAGATACCTGATTTATGCACGAGACATTGCGTCTTATAGTGATGAACAATTGTATGAAGTTTCATTAGAATCTCTCCATG